TATTTTCTAGTCTTAAGGTTTTATTAATTTTATATTTAATTCTGAAGTCACCTGAAACTTATTTCGACGTCTATTGTAAGGGGGTCAAGCTTTTTTTCTCCAATATTAAATCAAAAATCCCAGTACCACTTACCAAGTATTTTTTCCTTTTATTAACTGATTTGAAACATCACCTTTATCATATTTTGAATTCTTATCTATATTAGAGTATATGTCCAAGTTTTTAGTTTTTCTATTGATTTATTTTTCTACAGATTCTATAAATTTAGTTTTTGAAACTTTGTATAATGTTTTTATATTGATACAGTATAACAGGTTTTCTATCTTATTCTTTTTCACAGTTCCATTAACATTTTCATTTAATCTTCAAAGCGAATCTTAGGTTACTGCTGTTACCTAAATACATCCCACTGATATTTGGATGGAAATTACATGAAGTGTATAAGTTATTTTGTAGAATATTGACATCTTTCCAATTGTGAAATCTTCCCATCCATTATGGTTGTATGTTACTTATTTTGAGGTCTTTTGTGTCTATTAGAAAAAAATAATTCATATCCCATGAAATGATTTCCCACGAAATCATAAAATTAATACTGTTTAGTAAGGTTTCTCAATGAAGTTTTAAAAATTTACTATAAAACCAGCTTTTCTACTATGAAATGTTTTTTTCCTTTTGTTACTCATGAGAATATCTTCACATATTTGCATATTGCTATCTCATTTTTGCTTTTTCAAAGACTTATTTTTAATCATAGCATTGATAAATTTTATAAATGTGGTTAGTTTTTTTCTTTTTCTGTTTTTTCACTCAGTTTTTGCTGCAAAATAAACTACTCCAAAACTTGGTGGTTTAAAAAATGATGATTTAGTCTTATGATTTTTGTGGTTTGATTGGACATTTCTTCTGTTTTTGCCTAAGTTCACTTTGTAGTTTGGGCAATATGGCTGGGACAGCTGGGTTTCTCTCTCTACCTGGTCATTCTCATCCAAACTTTGTCTCATCACGTGGTCTCTGAGTTCCCAGAGGGCAAGCCCTAGTGCATAAACATTTATCAAGCCTTAGTTTAAGGACATGTTTGCTGATATCCCATTGACCAAAGCCACCGAAGCTCACGGTCTGTATGGGAAGAGACTACAAACAAGGACATCGATACCAGGAAGTGTGATTGACTGGGGACCAATATTGTTGTATTCTACCATGTCTACCTTCTGGCCTTTTTTGACATAACATTTTTTTCCCTCGTTGTTTATCGAGAGCACTTTTATGTTTTTTTCCTGCAATGAGGATTTCATGTTATTTTAGGAACACTATTTTTAAATATAGCATCAGTAGAATCTAGGAATATTGAGAATTTTTTCATATTTTGACGTCTCTCTGAAAGAAGCAATTACTCTTCCTAACTTTTGTTTGCAAATTTATATTCATAACTTAATTCATGAAAGCATTTTAGCTCTTTTGATAATATCAAGATTTAAACAAAAAATAAGTGTGAACTTTGCTTAAAAGTTTGAAAGCAATATGCTCCTAGGATTTCTGTTCCAATTTTATATTAAGAGTTTTATGAAAAGATAAAGACCCTTAGAAGAATAAAATTGCATTGATCTTCATGCAGAAGAAATGTTTATATCAGGTTGGGAAAGATGAAAGATTTTGTCCATTTTGGAAAGCATTTTAACATTGATATTTATAAAAGCTTATAAAGGGTAGATCACTAAGAATTTGTGAATATTGCCTTTAAATGAAATTCATTAACATTCTAGTTAATGTTTCTCTAGTTGAGAAACATGAGTATTGTTTGGAAAATGTCATTAGAAAAATGGTTTTACTCATGAGGAAGGTTGGGAAAACCATAGTCTTTATATTCAATTCATGGTAAAAAATATAATTTTTAAGTCTCGAAAAAGTCCACACTGAAATAAAATTCCTTATTATGGAACTGTGAAATGAAATTATGGAAATTGTTGCCCAAGGACAATTTCTATGATGTTGTAATTCAAATGCGAACTCTGATGATTTTAAAAGTAGTTTTTTGATGCCATTGGCTCTCTGTTACCTATTAATACTTAAACAAGTTTAAAATCTAAATGTCCTCACCTGGTTTTTAGGTAACTCTAACTAGTCTGAACATACTTCTGCGGTCTTATCTTAACACAGCTCCTTTATCCTGTCAGCACGACCCTGAAAACAACAGATTTTTTTTCTGCCTTTGTGCTTTTAACCTGTATATGTCCTGGCTTTGAATATGTTTCCTTGCTATATTTCAGTGTCCTTGTCAAGCTACCTTCATGCATCTTTCTCAGTTTCTGCACCCTATATTGATCTACCTCAGAACTATAGATACTTGTAGTTTGAGCTAGATATTAATAAATAACTACATATCATTTCATGTGCATTAATAGGATTATAAGCCTCCTAGAAGAGATCCTTAAACATTTTTTTTTTCCCTTGGGCCCTCATAGCAGTTAAACAAAGCCATGGACAAACAGTAATTTCACAGTGCATGTTCCCTGGTATTTAGTAGATAAAATCATTTTGATGTAATTTATTTCTTCTCCTTTAATAAAGGGATAGAATGGGATCTGCACTAATGATTGAAACAGCAAGAAATCCCACATGTCCTAAGGTAAGCTTAGAGTCTCTTAAATATAACACCTAGCTGGAACTGAAGGTCTGGTGAGAGCATGTATTCTGAGGGCCCTATTATTA